TTCCATCACTAGAGATACTAGTACTCACTTCAAGACTGTATTGACTAACTGTAAATAAACAAAACAACGTATTAGTTTCTGCAGTAAATCTTTTAAGCATTCTAATATTCAGGGAGCCTAACTTTATGTGAACAAAACAAGTTATTATAAAGTTCATGCAAAGAGCAACTAAACTTACCTAATTTATTTATATTTGTTACACCATTACAGACCTCCATCAGTACACCTCTTGCCCCTTGAAGAACTATTACAGTTAAAAGAAGGAGATAGCAATCCTTCATGATTCTTCTTATTGCCGGTAAATAGTCGTCTTACTGTTCAAGCAGGTTGTATCTATAAACAAACCACATAAATACAATAGTCTACTTAACTTTTAGATCTATTACAGTAATTGCATATTTGATAGCTGATATCATGCAATCTCTGATTTAGTGTCTATAGAGTATGTACTCATGCATGCATAGATGTAGATCTAGATCAAATCACTGAGTTCATTTTACTGCCAGAAATAGCCTTTATAAAGTATAGCAAATTTCCTTTTAAAGGGTTAGTTCTATTAATAGCTGAGCTATTAAACTCATTAGAATATGCATAGAGTTTTTGGTCAATTTTAATTGGTCACAAATGGGGCAACGCCTAAGAAAGGAATGTGCGTGATTGCTAAACAATGGCGAAACAGCATCCAAAAGGTAGCAAAAGCTTCAACCAATAATTTTGTTAACCAATACTGACATCATTAATAGATTACCCTGGATTGAAAGCAAGATTTTTCCATAGTGCTGCAACAGTAGGTGATTCTTCACTATTTGTGTGGGCTGGTGAGCAAGCTGGTTTGCCTAAAGTACATGACAGTCCAGAGAAGAGAAAATTTACTAATACTATACAACACTTTACTGCCTCATCTGGTCAATGGTTTGCTAGAGAAACTACTGGTACTCCTCCATTAGGAGTCATGGGATACTCTTGTGCTGCAATAAATAACCATCTGTATTATTTTGGTGGTTATTGTAATCATGACAACTGCTTTCACAACAGTATTACACGACTGGATACCATTAGTCTTCAATGGAGAGAATTAGAACCAACTGATGCAACTAGACCAGTAATGAGGAGAGGCTGTGGGGGGATGTTATCATTTGAACATGATGGAGTACATTACTTGCTAATGATAGGAGGAATAGGATCTAAACCAGCTGTACAACTGCAGCAGAATAGATACATTGAGACAATGCATGAAAGATCTAGTGGAAGATGGCGTACTAATGAGCACTCAATGTATAATTTATCATTAGGTAATATTATTTTATGAATTATTTTAGATCTATCATTTTTGATTAGACAGTTGATTAAACTGTTGCAATGTTTATTTTAAGCAACCTATAATAGTCACATAAAGTCATTAAATGTATTATAATTTAGAAAAATGGGACAATGTATCTGTTACTGGTCAGTGTATACCACCTGCTGATGGTTTTGTTCTTGAAAAAATCAGCAACACAAGAGCTATTCTGTTTGGTGGAATTATACAGGATGATAAAACTGAGGCTATTGCTAGCAATGATTTGTATTTATTAAGAATAGACCTATCGCTCACCACTGTGGTATGTTCATATAAATTATTTTCAATTGCTTTCTTAGTCTTGGCAGTGTATAAAGAAGCCTGAAGCTATTGACAAATGGCCTGTGGGTAGATATAATCATGCAGGTACTATTATTGTAGCTGGATTACTCTGCCCTCTGCTGGTGATATGTGGTGGGATGAATAATAATAATGATAAATTAGATGACTGCTGGATGTTTGATACTACTCAATGCACTTGGACAACTTGGACAAAAGTATGAATTTTTACATTTACCGGTATTCATTAAATCAAGTTGTGTCATCTAGCCCCATAATGTTATTAATAACTATTTCTATTAATAGGTAGGTCACTCATTTAGTAAGAGATGGGCTCATTCCCTCTCAGTGTTCACTTTTAGTCCTCGTTGTTTTTGGATTATTACTGTTGGAGGAGCATTTGTTTCCAGAAGAGAAGTTACTAGTGATGAACTGGTTCAGTATCCATACATAACAGTGATGAAAAGCTTAGGTATGTACTGGTATACTTGGTATGGCTTGCACAGATTTATTGCATTAAATTTCTTTTTTATTAATAGTTTTTAACAAAGAACAAGTTATAGTACAAGATATACCGGTATCAAATAGTCGACAGTATCAAAGCATGTATTTTCAGCAACTCCAACTAGGAAGAACACACTGGCTGGAGTATCAAAAGCAAAAAAAGGAAGTACAAGTATGGGAAGGGCACCAGCTTACAGAATATAAAACATCACTAAAAGAACAGGAACTAGAGATACAAGCTATTAAACAACAATTAAGAAATGAGCAAGATCATAGCCATCAATTAACAATAAAAATAGAAAAAAAGGAGGCAGAACATTATTTAGAATTACAAGAGAAAGATCAGAAATATCACCATCAATTGCAAGAAATTAAGGCAGAAAAGGAACTAGAAATACAAAGAATCTGCTTTCAGTTACAGGAGAGGCTGGAGAGTGAGAAGGCAGCAAAAGATCTAGAAATACAAAATTGCCATCATTGGCTACAAGAAAAGGAGCAAGAGATGCAAGAATATTACCATCATTTTGATCAGTTAAAAGGGAAGGAGGCTGAAATCCAAAGATGTCATTTTCAGTTGGAGGAGCAAGAGAGGGAGAAAGCCAAAACAGCCCAAGAAATACAGAATTATCATTACCAGTTGCA